TGTTTTTAGGTATTTCATGTTCTATTTCTGTTGCAGAGGAAGAGCGCTGTTCCTTTTTCTCATTTCAAGTCCTAATGTTACACCTTACAGCTAAGATTTTGATGTAGCACGAAGTGAAAATGACAGTGGAATGTTCTAATGTTTCCTTATTTGATTCCTTTGGACCAAAGTGCATTTGTTACTGCCTGGTTTGTATGCAGTCTGCAGTCTCTCCAGCTGTTTTTCCTCCTGTTCTTGTGATTCTTTTAAAGTTCTTAAATCCCTGGAAATCCTGAAACAGGGATGAATGTTAAGGTACGGATAGCAAGACCCTAACCTCTTTCATAGTATGTCTTTAAATGTATGTTCTTGTACATTTAAACTACAGAAAAAAAACCTTAGCACCGCTGTAGCAATAGAGCCGCAGTCAGGAATTCAAATGAACTGATAACTCAAATTACAGTTTTAAGTTATAAATTATCTGGCTATGAATTTTTTTTTTTTCTGGTTTGCTCTCAGTGGAAGTCTGGGCTTATTTCCAAAGCTGAGGCAAAAACAGAGCTTTTTTTCTTTTCAAAAAAGATGTAAAGGGTTGTCTTGCGTTTAAAAAAAAAAGGCTTTATTTTCATATCTTATGCATTCAACAGATGTTTGTCTTAATGAAGAATATATCTGGGGATTTATTTTTAGTAATATATATATAGAAACACTGAAAAAAATTTAAAAGCCATGTGGAAATCCTCTTTCATGTTTTTCATTTATATCAAAGGTGAATAAGCATTGCACTAAGCTGTTTGTCATTTGTCAGTGTGCGTTTTCCCATTGGCTTCAGTGGAAAAAGGTTCTTAGAGTTTGCTTTCTGGTGCTGTTATGGAAGTTTGTATATATAACTGATACTTGAGGATTTAGACAAAACCAAGACTAGTTTGAAGTATGCTCACAAAGATATAAATGATGTAGTATGCAGAGGTTTACTTCATATTGTATGTATGACACATTAACTCCTCCTGCCTATTACCCAGGTGAGTCGATCACTGTAAGCTGGCAATAGTTCATGTAGTTACGTGTAGTTGAACTGACTGTTAAGTAGTTATGCTAAATCAAATTAGTCTGTGCATCGCTTATCCACATGCCTGTATGTCAAAGAAAGGTATGTCAAAGAAATGCAATTAATATTAGTAATCTTTATTTCTTTCTTTACCTTGCATTTGAATTTCTCGTTCAATTAACATCTACCTTACTTTGACTACCGATTTTTGCCTTCTAAAACTGCAGTGCAACTGAGCATCAGTTTGGGGGGTATTAACAGCTTTCAAAACTGCCTGGTCGTTCTGAAACTATTAAAATAATAATAATAAAAAGGCACAGAAACATTATTGAGCGTGTATTCCGTTTCCAGAAGAGGGGTGGGAGGAAGAGGAAATCTATTATTTAAGAAAGAAATACAGCCAGTGTGATAAAAGTGCCTTCCCACGTCTTCTGGCCAGGTTCTACGTGCATATAAATGTTTCACGTTAAGCTTTAAGATCAAGGACAAATCTGTAGGGAACCTTGTTTCCTGGGGATCTGCTTGCAAGAGTAGCTCCCAAGTACTGACTTCCCATTTTTTATTTGGTTATTAAGGATGAAAGGCTACATCATTTTCTGCAATAGCAGTTCCTTGCATGCCATTATCTTTGTCCACAGCTATGAAACATGCATTTCCATAGGTTCATGTGGATACTTAGCCTAATTCAGCTCAGCTACTATCACTGCTGCTTTATACATGTTTAATTTAGAGGATCACCTTTGTATCATGTTGTAGAGCGAACAAAAGGTATGTGGTTCAATAGTTGAGAAACTGTCTCTTTATAATGGGTCTCCAGCCCATGTGTCTCAGAGCTCCCTCTGTTGTGAAAACAAAACACTGGAAGTCTAATTTTCTGAAATAACTCATTCTTGTCAATGTGTTTATGTATATGCAGGCTTGCAAGTGAAAAATCACTCGTATGAAGTTTTGCATACTACCAAATGTAGAAACAGTGGAAAAAATGCAACTGAAACCTATTTGTACTAGATTACATAAGCAAATCATCCATAGTTTTAGACATTCTGGCACTTATTTTTCACAGCTTACCTGCATAAATATTGCTTCAACAAAAGACAAAGTCTTTAAAAAATAAAATAAATAAGACTGACATGATTAGCATGAATGTTTAAGATACCATATAAGAAGCTTAGTAGATGTATCTTTGGCTTAGAAAAAAATTCCCCTTTAGTTACTCTTTTTTGTTACTTGGCTATTTTTTTATACTTCTGTTTAAACGCTATCGACATGAAGTTGGAATAAAACATTTGCATCTGTTCTTCTTAAAATAACAGTAAACAATTCAAGCTGAAAAGCTCTTGCAAAATACTAAGCTATTACCAATATAAATAACACTAGCTGTGTTCAATCAGATGTAACATCACTGTAAAATGGTAAATGGCAATTAGTTTCATATCAGAAGTATCAAGGATAGCACACTAGATTAGATGCAAATGGTTAGAATGGAACAAACCTTGCAAAACAATGTGAGACCTGGTAATTTACCAAGAATGTGGGTAAGCATAGGTTTTCTTTAAGCATAGGTTTTCTTTCTTTTACATAGGGCTGAAATATCCAACCTGTAGATCTTTGTCTTCCCCTGACCTACCTGCTTCAGTGCCTTGCCCTTAAATGTGTTTAAAGGAATTTCTTATCCATCAAGATGCCTGAAAGCAGTTGTTGTGGAGATGCTTGGGAAGCAGATGATGGCAATCTGTTGTCTGGAAAATATGTACTTCTGCAGTTTGTCTAACATGCCACTCAACTCAAAGATAAACTTAGCAAAGACTGATCTATATTCTGCACTCCTCCTCACGCATTGCTGCTGGATCTCTTTCCTGCAGCCTCTAGGGGAGAGTAATCGTGTTACTCAAAACCAGACACGGGGTATTGTGTGGAAGAGGGGAAAGGGGTTGTGCCCATACCCTAATTTTGATTGCAGGACCCAAATGCCCGTAAACTTAAGTGTATATACATGAGTATACCTCTATATAAAACTCTAGCTTCTAACTCTTCTGACATAGACATACAGACATATGCATTTTGGCATCCTTCTCCTGAGATATATGAACTGATTTCTGACATGATGTTCCTTTTTGAAAAGTGAGAACTTCTAAAGGAAAGAAAGGAACATTTATTTGAAAGTAATCATAGCAGAAAAAATAATTCCAAGCATCTGCAATTTTTACATTAAATTCACTTTGAATTTAATGTAAATTGAAACTTCTCTTGTTTGATGTTTCTAAACCTATTTGTGACTTTTTTCTTTCTTTGTTTGTTTATCAGGAACTTTATATAGAATTCCTAAAAATTGAAGGTAACCTATTGGTCTGTATAAATATGATTAAAGGGAATTTTCCATGCAAACATGAAAACAATAGGCAGAAAAGGGAGTAAGTGCAACTCTTCATGGTGAAAATGAAACAAAACCACAAGGCTTTGATAATTTGTTATCTGGTAATGGCATACATCGTTTTGAAAAGCTCCTGTGAGATATTGTATAAAAAGCTGCTTACATCAGATAAGAGTTTGTTTTCAGAGCTGCTCTTGCTTTGCCATTTATATCATGCACTGCCCATGGAGAAAACATCATTATCGACTTTTGTTTGCTTTGCTAATTAAAAAAGTAACATCTGGAAAAGTTTTGTTTTGACTCCTTTTTTCTGTGCTGGAAAATCGGAGGCTTAGCCAGCTAAACTGAGCTAACTATATCTAGCTTTACCAAAGCTGTTCTATTTCTCCATCTGCTCTTACTTACAGCACTTTTATATAAAATACAATGAACTTCATTAGAACGTTTTCTTAAGATGGAAACTAACTGAAGGACTTTCAAATAGCAAAAGATAAAAATGTGATTTAAATTCATCTACTGTAGAGGACAAGCACAGATAAAAGCACAGTAAACAGGACACTAATAACCTTGGTGCAGGAAGCAGATCAGCCTGGTCTGCTGCCCTGGCAGCTCTTCTCCTAGGTCTTTGCAATGGGTAACTTGAGTTCAGATACTGTTTGTTAGAATATTTCAGGTGAGCAGAGTTACTGGAAACAGTCGAGGGCTAAGATTTCAAAGAATCAGGGCATCTGATCAGAAAAATCTTAGACTTGTGGATAAACATCCATTAACAAAAATGAACTGTTATACTTTTACTCCTAATTTAGCAAAGCAGTTGCTTGTTTTTCTAGATTGAGGAATGTGTTTAAATGCTGCACTAGGGAAAACATATAATCTTGTGATAGCACTTTTCTTACTTTCCTGTGTAGCATGAGGATACAACTCCATAGACTTTCTGAGAATTTCAACTCAGAAAATCTATTTTGTGGGGACCTGATATACTGTTCCACTTTGCTCTCTACTCCTAACAGTTTGTTTTGTGGTGGGAATGTTTTGCTTACTTCAGTGTACTTTTAGTACTTCATGGCCTGACGTGAACTGAGTATTTGGTAGTTCTGACAGTTCAGATCTGGGTGGTTGAATTGCTATCCAGTGTGAAAGTTCATGTCTTTATGTTATTTAACGTTTGTCTCTCTATTTGCCC